CAGCAAGAGAGCATCGAGAAAAGTATCGAATTGAATCAGCTGCGGGTTGCTCTTTTAATTACAAGTAATGATAAAACTTTTGGTGCCGCCGAAGATGTATACAGATGTCTGGCAAATACGTCATATTTTGTTCCGTGCATTGAGATTCTTCCGGATTATCCGACCGAATTACAGGATAATGTATTTGCTCATTTTGACGCTTTCATATTTGTGCCTAGCTCTTCAACTAACAATAATCCGATTGCACAGTGGAAGAGTATTTTTGCTTTTTATTCGATCTTGGTTGGCTTAGAACTTGAAGATCCTTTCCTTGCCAACAAACACGTTATATTTTATGATCCTGACAACACGAATTTCAAAGTGGAGCGTAACTTTTATACGAGTCTTTATAACAATGGCATGTCATGTCAGTCACCGGAGGACATGTTTTTTGTAGCTTCGTCTTTGAGCGAGGTCATCGAGCGTTTGCAATCTGCACGTAAAGTATATAGACGGCAGACACTTCCAATTTATGAACGAGAGCCAGTTAATTTTTCAGATAAAAATGGTAAATTCAATGTCGCCCTATATCTATCTGCTTCATCTGAAAACTCTGAATACTTACATTTCACGCGACAGCTGGCATATGAATTAGCTAATAGAAAATTCGGCATTGTCTCCGGAGGAGCTGCACAAGGTCCTATGGGAGCAATTCATGATGCATTAACACCAACACTCTTTGAAGAAATGGAACTTTTGGGCTCGCCTATCGCTAATATTGGAATTTACACACGTGAAACAAAATTACGCGAAGGTTTTCCTCAAGACAAATTGACTTGGGCCTACCAAGCATCAGATGTGTATTATCGTATGCAATTGATGGAACAATATTCGGATGCATTCATCATTCTCCCAGGCGGCAAAGGTATTATGCAAGAAATTTCTAAATTAATGATTGCAAAGTACAACAATCATCAAACTGTAGCTAGCAAGCACATTATAATCTATAACTGGCAGATCGAATTAGTGTACGACATGGAAAATGGGAAAAAAACTTCTATAGGCTTTTACAACCAACTACTAGACGTGATTTTGGTAGAACAAATTCAAGCGGATTGGTTACACATAGTCACTAATGTTCAGCAAGCTGTCGATATACTGGAAAAAATTCGTGCAGAAAGGGATTCAACGATTGTAGAATTGTCCAATTCTCGAACTTTTCAAGGATGCAAAGGAAGCGTTTAATTCATGAGTCTGCCTACAGTTGTATTTCGTTACGTTCCACTTCGTCCGCTGTCCAACTATTCTCTTCTACGACTATTTAGGCATATCTTCTCTTTACAATTTACATAGGCTCTCAAGCTTGTGTCTTTTGTCTTTACTGCCCTCTATATTCTTCTGATGTTCTCCCCATTCTCAATTCTTTTTCAGAGAGTTTCTCTTTATCGTCTGCAGCGCACAATAGAAACTTATTTCTATGTTTCCATTTCGTGTGGTTTTCTACGATATGTTCACAACAAATAAAGAAATATATGAATAAGTACGTTCACGTTCTTCAAAATGAAGCGAAGAAAATTTCTCAACTTTGATCTCCAGTACTTTATTCTCCGAACTCTTCCCCTGTAAGGATGTAGATGTGAATGTGGGTCTTCATTCACACCTCACACCAAACCAAAAAATCGCTTATATTCACCACATTCACACCCTTTTGAATGTATTTGTGTGCTCGCAATTAATTACCCACACAAGTGTTCTAATAGAAGTTAACTATAGTCGAACAGATTTGTCGAAAACTTTCTGCACAAGCACATCCCAGAAGACCTTGTGAAACCTCAACAAAGTGACAAAAAGTAGCGCAAACTCAAAGATTCTCAGGCATACAACATATCGTTTTAATACGTTAAAATGTGCGCTTTTTATGCTGAAAAAAAGATAAAAGAGCGGTTTTTCTTTTTGTAAAAAAGCAAATCCGTGGATATCACCATCTTCACACTCGCTCTGTTTTCAAAAGTTTTTTTTAAACGAAAAAAGCTCACATTGTACCTCATAAAAACGTGTTTCTTTTATCGATTTTGTCTGACTAAGCTGTAAATAAAATGTTTTAAAAATTGAGCAAATTCAAGAACATGAAAATATGAATAATATTGTAGAAGACCAGATTCTATCGTTCATCTTTCCGAGAAAATGTAAATTTTTCTCTTTTAAGTGGATAGTAATAGTTTTAAGCAATTTTACTTCATTGTCCACCATTTGTGCGTTCAATTATCTCCTTTGAATTTGATCTCGATAGTATTATATCAGTACGATTTAGTGATCAAGGACTGTTCTACGCACAATCGCATCATTTTACTCATGTTTCTGTCAAGTATAATATATGTTCATGTAGGTGAAAATAGTAGTATATCTCAACTAAAATTAATAAGTTATGTTCCTCAATTTGACATTTTCCTTGATTAATTTCATTC